TTGGGCTTTAAAAAAACCTTTAATTTGCCACCAGTCACTGGGGTGGATTTTCCATATGTTCAGAATAGGGAGTGTGAGATGCTAATGAATCTCTCTCTCTTTGAGCCAAACACAGACCCTGATTTAAATGATTCTTAGTTTGTCAAAAGCAATCCCAGAATGTTCTGGCACCACAGTCTCCTGTCTGAAAAACTCAGTTTAAACTGCCTGTGGAGGAATTGGTAATAACTGGAGGAATAAGGCAATAAAATAAGTTATTAAGATGTAAATTGTCACATCTTGCAAATTCTGTGGTGGTTTGTAATGGGGACTATGAATAAAGGGGGTACAGGGGAAGGAATTAAGAGACACTGAGGAGATGTAGCTGAGCAGCTTTAGATACAAGAATGTATTGCTAGATACTGTAGTTTCAAAAAAAGAAACAGAAGTAAGTCATTATCACTCCACCCTAACGTGCAATGAGCAGTTACACTAGCCTACAAGGCATAAGATAAACCATTCTGGATCTGCTGATAGGGAGGTTGACAGGGACTGATTGTATCAGAGCAGATTTTCTGCCTTACAGTGGTACCATGTGATTTAACTCATTATCAGATGGTCTGGAGGTGAGGAGAAACAACCCAATTAATACACGTGTAGATTTTCTGTTTGCCTGCAGAGTGCTGGACAGTTGCTTTATATGCCCAGTCAATGTAATTCTGTATGTACTTCATGCCCTAGTGGGATGAAAAATTTCTCATCTTGCCATCAAAAATGTTTCATAGAATCATGGAATGGTTTGGGTTGGAAGGGACCTTAAAGCTCATCCAGTTCCAACCCCCCTGCCATCAGCAGGGACACCTTCCACTAGACCAGGTTGCTCAAAGCCTCATCCAGCCTGGCCTTCAACACTTCCAGGGAGGGGGCATCAACAACTTCCTTGGGCAACCTGGGACACTGTCTCACCACCCTCATCAAGGCATAGTAGAAAAAATCATATTAAGTAATGGGGAAACTGAGGCTTATTTTAAAAGAGGATTTTCAAGTGAATTCCTTTTAACTATGTTCCGGCATTTTCTTGAGTTTAATGTTCCTATAGAAGAAACAGGCACTAACTTTATTTTAATTTTAGGCTGTTTCACTCTGAAAACTGCAACACAGGCTAACTGGCATTTTAACAGACCACTGAGGGACTCCAGAATACGTGCTTACATCATATCTAAAGCCGTTATTGCATTTTCTCCTAATTGCAAACTTGGTAACTGGGCCTGTAATCTGAAACTTAATCTGGATGCCTACTAGTTCTTTGGTCACCAAGAGGAAAATAACATAATGACAACTTGGTTAACCTCTTTCTGTTTACTGGAGAGCTGGTGTAGAATCAACTGTTGGCTTCTAGTCCTGTTGTGTTGTTCTGGGAGGTGTAGGTAGCAATGGAAAACAATGGCTGAAGTCTTGATTTCTCCACAATTCCTTTCAAGGTAAACCACAATCTAAATCTGACGCTTAACAATGAAACAGGTCCACACAGTGCAAGCAGTTTGATATTCCTGCTAAGACCTGCTCGTAGCAGAGCTTGAGAGTTCAAGTAGCTTTGTAAAAACTCCCGTTTGTAACCTCTCAGCAGCTGTTTTTGCAACAAGTCTATGATGTGTTGCTTCTTAAAAGCTTTTTTTCCCTACCAAGACCTAGAACTAACTGTCTTTTTTGATAATGGAAATCTGCTTCTTTATTTGTGGCTGGGGAATGTCTGGGAATAGCTCTAATATTTATGTTGTTCTTAGTTCCTCAAAAGATGCAGCTGAAGGGCTATACACTTCTCTTGCAGAGACGAGTAAGCCAAGCTAACAAAGGCCAAGTGCTACCAAGGTGCAAAGAGAAGGTAAAAGAAGTAGTTTGTAAGTCAGCTGCTGTGAGCTTCTGTCACTCCTTACCATACAAGCCCTGTCAGCCAGATTGGTCATTTGTAAAGTAAGTACTGGGTAAATTGAGAGCACGTTTGTACCTTCATTAGTAAGCATCATTATCTCCCAAAATCTAGAAGGCTTGTTGAGTGGATGGAGTTAAGGTACAGTAACTTCCATAGGCAGCAAGCAGGGGTGGGACCAAGGTGCCTGACATTTGCTTCCAGCCAAAATGACAGCTGCATTGGCCGTGGGTGACATTTAATGAGAGTCTAGAGCCATGAAAAACCCATGCTCTCATAAGGCCCCACCTGGAGTACTGTGTCCAGTTCTGGAGCCCCCATCACATGAGAGACCTGGAGCAGCTAGAACAAGTCCAGAGGAGGCCACCAGGATGATCCGAGGGCTGGAGCACCTCTCCTATGAGGACAGGCTGAGAGAGTTGGGGCTGTTCAGCCTGGAGAAGAGAAGGCTCTGGGGTGATCTTATAGCGGCCTCCCAGTACCTGAAGGGGGCCTACAAGAAAGCTGGGGAGGGACTTTTCATAAGGGCAGTTAATGACAGAAGAAGGGGAAATGGGTTTAAACTGAAAGAGGGGAGGTTTAGATTAGATATTAGGAAGAAGTTCTTCACTGTGAGGGTGGTCAGACACTGGAACAGGTTGCCCAAGGAAGTTGTGGATGCCCCCTCCCTGGAAGTGTTGAAGGCCAGGCTGGATGAGGCTTTGAGCAACCTGGTCTAGTGGAAGTTGTCCCTGCTGATGGCAGGGGGGTTGGAACTGGATGATCTTTAAGGTCCCTTCCAATCCAAACCATTCTATGATATTATGCTAATTGGTCACAGATCTGAGTCCAACAAGCAGGTAAGTTGACACAGTTGAGAAACCTGGGATCTCATCTGCTTCTACAGTGATTTTTCTGTCTGCTCTGACATGTACAGGTCTCCTACCACACCCTAGTTTCAGTGGTTGAATACAAAGGGGGAAGGAGTGAGCAGCGTCTGGGGTAAAAGGGTTGAATCAAACACTGAATACTTGTCCTGTGACTCAGTACCTTCCTGCTAGAGAACCTCCCTTGGCTTGTGTTGTCATCCTGCCCTGAAGCATGAGCTGGGGTCAGAGCTTTGCTGCCCTGCAGGCTGTACAAATAGCTGAAAAGCCAGTCCCTAGCCCTTAAGGAGCACCTATTCTGAGAAGACAAATAACACATGGGAAAGAAGGTGAAAGGGAAAAGCAATCACCTGTGTAAAATGTTCTTGCGTGCCATGTTTCCACTGTTCCTGCGGGCTGTGCTCATAAACTGGCTGAGCAATGAGGAGTTGGCCCATACCTCATATTTGCTTGAGGACAGAGGGAAGCTACTGCTGTGTTCCTGCTCCAACTTGGAAGACCTGCAGCATGAGGGAAGTGTGTATTTTGGCTCTTAAAGAAGTACAGAGTTATAAGCAAGAGGAAGGGCCAAATTTTAAATGACCCAGTAATGAACAACTTGATTGAACAGCAATGGACTGTTCAATCCTGGCATTAAAAATGCCAACGGTGACCTCAGCTCCTGGCAGCCTCAACTGTCCATAGTTGATTTGAGACCGAGAAGTTGTTTACACACCTAGGAGGGACTGACTGTTGACAGTACTTTAAAAAAGAAGTTTAGATATTTGCATTCTAATATAGCTGATGCATTCAAATGAGCCTTGTCATTTCTGGCCACACAAGGATGAAGGAGAGGTTGAGTGATAGGTGAGAATGGCCTGTCTTAGTGTGAGGATGTGACAGAAGATTCGACTGGCTCAGTGCCCTTCCTCTGCTGTGAATAGTTGTCTGTACTTGACAGTTAAATCTGCAACCTATAGTAAAAGGACTGTCATCACAGCTGCTTGGTTGCACTAAAAGTTCCTTCTCCTAAACTCATGAGCAATATAAAACTGGCATGAACCTCCTTGGGATTGGACTAGATGACCTTTAAAGGTCCTTTCCAACCCCAACTGTTCTGTGATTCTATGACTGGCCATCAGGCCTGTGGAAGATAGCACCATCCCACAGCAATGTGGGCTGTGTTTAAAATCTCTGAGTAATCTGATTTGTTTTGGTTTCTCCCTTGGACTCTGTTATTAGCTTGTTTGCTGAAGGAAAGGACATAAATGGAGAAGGCAGATGAAGCCTGACTTGACTTTGTTTGTTTGTTTGTTTGTTCTCTTAAGTACTCTCTAAATCTGTGTAGTAACTTTCCTGGTCTGCAGGTTAGTCTCCAGGCCATGTATAAGCATATGCCTAATGTGTTATATACCTAATGAGAGAAGAAAACAACCTCTCAAACTGCACACAGCAACTCTTTATTCTGTTCAAGTGTGCTTCAGAAAAGCAGGGTGACCCTAAAGCCTGAAATAAAATTATTAAAAATTTGCTTCACAGTATTTGAAATGGCTGAAGTTCACGTGATGGATGCATGTACGTTAATAAACTGCACAAACTTATTTTGTTGTTTCTTCTGTGTGATGCTTTCTTCATTTGTAGCTCATTGTATTCATGTAAGGATTTTTGTGTAACCTATGGAAAAAATGGCACCATTTTTCCAGTGCACTTTTGGAGTGTGTGTGTAAAAGTAATGCCCGATGAACAGCCTGAAAAGGATCTTCTGAGTCCCAAAACAGCCATGGATTTAATTTGGCACAGATTTCTTATGCTTCCCTGCTAGATTATCTCAATTTTAACCTTTGAAAAGTGGCCTTTGGAGGCAAGAATTTAAGATCTACAGTTACTGGAGACTCCTCCAGAGCTGTCACTGCTTGAGAGTTTATCATAGCAAACCATATTTTTTTTAAGATTTATTTCAACTGATGCTCTGAGGGTAACAGCACTGAAAGTGTTCCCTCTCCAGCTCATTGTCATCCTTCATAATTACAAAAGGTAACAGATCAGAGGATGGAAACAACATGCTAAGACAGTGTTTAAAAAAAACCCAACAACAAGACACAATCCAACCCCCAAACTAAAAAGTCTGACTTTTATTCTGTTCACACAGGTAAGTAGATTGTGTTTGCATCTCATTTATTTTATTTTTTTTTTTTTTCCTTGCCAGGCACTTACCAGAAAAGGTGAAAGATGATGTTCAGCTAAAGAATATGAGTGGGCAGTGGTTTTATGAAGCAAAGTCTAAGAGGCACAGAGATAAGATACATGGAGCAGATATTATTAGAGCTTCCATGCGACGGAAGCCTGCTGCTCTTGGTAAGCATTTCGTTTCTGTTTTATTTTGGAAAGGCTGGCTCTTGCTTAGCTAACCTCAGACACTGTTGTCTGTGAAACACAAGAATAATATTGGTATCTCTACAAGCAGGAAATGATGCAAAAGAGAGATTTCCCATGTAGTTTACAGTGTAAGCTTTCCTCTCCCCCAGTGCTCTCTGTTAAAGAGAGAATTCTGTGGGATGACTGCTAACTAGAGGGACTGGCTTGTGTTACATGTAGGACTAAAAGCCCTCTGCGTTCCTGGACTGAACTCTCATTTCCATTTTTGAGGCCCTGTGAGCTACACTGGAACATGCAGAGAATCAGAGATTAAGGAAATTACTCTTTAGTATGGATTTCCAAGATTTTGGGTGCTCAGTTTGAGACCTCTGAGGTTTAATGGTAGACGCCATGAACTAGAGCTAGTGGTTACAACTACTGAAATATGTGTGCTGGGAGCTCTGGCAGCTAGAACTGGGCATCCTGTGTCCATGTTGTCTTTGAATGTACCCACCATTCCCCACATCATGGTGGGTGCCCTCAAATGATCTATTAGAAATGTTTTGTTAAAGCCAACTGTGTTCTTGTGCCAGGTAACAGTTGCAGACATTAATTTAGTACAGATAGGGCGTAGTATATTGTGTGTAAATTGAGTAATGTTGTCAAGCTTGATGCTCACTTGGTAATAAATATTATATTTTTGAAATGCTTATTTAAAAAAATCAGAATGTGGGAAGATAATAAGCTGTGCTTAACATCAGAAGTAAATACAGTGTTTTGTTTGGAGAGAAACAAAGCAAGAGAGTACAACATAAAAGCTGCTCTACTGGACCAGACCCAAAGCTCATCTCCCCAGCAAGCTGCCTCCAAGAGTGCCTGGCAGCATGTGTAAGCTCAAAGGCCGGGACCAACCTGCAGCCAATTGTACCTGAGACTTTTTTGACATAGAGGAGGTATTTCTGGATTATTTTTTCCCCATTACTTTGTTTAAGAAGCTCTTTAAAGCTATGCCTCTTTAACATTTACCATATTCTGTCTTGAGGCATTTTAAAATGAAGGGTTTCCACATAAGAGGTGACCATTTCATTTTCTGGTTTTGAAGTGATCACCATTAACATTATCCCTAGGAGGGAAAGTGAACAGTCAATTTGGATTCACAAAAACATGTATAGAATAGTATACAGGATTTTATGGACTTCTATTAGAAATCTCTTGGCATCTGACTTTCTAATCTGAAGAGTCCTGGTCTGTTTTGTCATTCTTTGTACAGAAAGTGATTGTTTTCTTAGATAAATTGACCCTCATCCCCTCTTAACCTCCTCTAGTTCTACTAAATCCTATTGACTTAGAAGGGCAAGACTCTTCCTATTCTCACCACAGGTTGTATTGATATTTGTAGTCTTTATTTTTTTAAGTTCTGTTAAGGGATTTTACTTTGTGCTAGTGAAACAATTAAGGTACTTCTCTCAATACTATGGGTGGACTATAGCTTACTACTTTCTATAGGTTTTGTAACTACAATTTAGCTTTGTTTTCCTGTGTCTAATCCTGCAATGTTACACCTTCCTAATTCCTGTATTCCCAGAGATGAGTTTGGATACAATCACAGAATGGCCTGGGTTGGAAAGGACCTTAACGGTCATCTAGTATATAATGGCAGTTTAGTCAGTTTGAGGTTACTGTCTGATGGTTTGGGGGTTTTAGGTTAACAAGAAAAGGTCTGAAACAGAAAAGAATGCAAAAATTCACAGGTAGTTAGTGTGGCATGTTTGTGGTTTTGGCTGGTTTTGGAATTGAAGGTTATGAAAATCAGCTGTAAAATGTTAGCTAAATTTTACAGTAACTTATACCTTAAAGGAAAGTACTTACAGCCATATTACCTTAAAGGAAGGTTAATTGTTCCCAATCTTATTACTTGAACCAAGGGGCATACTGGTACATTCAGAACTATGTGCAATTACTTGGTTTCAATCAGTCATTAGATGGCAAGATATTTTTGCTTGCAGTTATGGTTAGCAAAAGTGAGACTAAATATCTTGCTTATTTTTGCACACTAGGAAATCCATCATATCTGAACTGCTGAAGTGCAAAAAGCAGTAGAGGAAATAATGTAAACTAATATTTTGACTCTGGAAGAGGTTATCAGAATAGGATTCTGACCCACCCCTAAAAGAAATGAAAATGTATTTGCATTTGCTGAATGAGTGGGGCTTTTTGTTTGGTTGGGTTTTTTATACTTACCCTCTTAACTTCTTGTGGTAATTCTATCCATAAAGGATTAGCCACCTGCTTAAATAACAGCTATGACCAACTTCAAATTTACTGATGTAGGAAAGGAATAATTGACTTGATTAACTGAACTTCAGCATATTTTCAGTTTCCTATGGTTTAATTGTTTTGTGTTTCCTCAGGACACCAAGGTTGAATTTTTGATGTTTTTCTAGCTGCAAGAACTCCAGGATTAGTCTTTACCACAGTTGTTGTAGAAAACTTCTCCATTTAGGATCATTTTAAGGTCTAAAGCAGGTGTACCTGGAGTAGCAGAGTGAAGTATGTGGAATAGTATGTGACATTCTTAGTAGCATTAAAAAAATTGTTCTTCAGAAGGCAGCAGATCTGCTTCTGTACACAAGTATAGTGGACTTCTGAAATAGCTGTAGGACTGAATGCAAATACTTGTTTTTGCTTCTGAAGAAATCCTATATGAACATATGGAAGACTACAATATTCTTGTTTGATGTTTTAGCTGAAGTGAGTCAGAACAAAACAAACAAAGCAAAGAACAGCTGGGTGAGCAATGTTAATAAAGAAGTCTTTGTGCCACCGGAACTACATGGCATTGTAGAACATCAAGAGGAAGAAGAACAACTGAAATCTAGTTCAAGGTAAGCTGTTTAATCACAGTTAGTACATATACATCAGGACTGGTGAAACTTGTCAACTGTAAGTTCCATCCAAAATATTAGACTTTATTTCAAAGATCATTAATTGTTTCCTCAGAATTGTCCAAGGAATCCATGCATGTGAAAGGCTGACAAATCATATTTATACATTGTTAATTGTTCTGCATTCAAATGCAGAATAATCTTTGACTTACATCTACAAGGAAAAAGTTGTCCATGGTGTATAGAATGGTCCCACACACGTTCTTGTGTCACAACTTAGTCTGGCTCACAGAAATGGGATGAGGGTTTTCTACTGGCCACAGTCAGTCCTCTGCAGTTACCAATATGGGGACAGTAACCTCTGCATCTCTTCGTTCAATCACTCAGTGACACCAGACTATTGGTTCAGCCTGAATTTTAAACTTGGATCATACAAAGAATCAGAGATTGAGAAATTACTTTTTAGAATTTTCCAGATTTTTGTTTGCACAGTTTAAGATGTCTGAGACTTTTTTTTTTTTTTTTAAGAGACCAAATGTATTTGAGGTGAAAAGAACCAGAATCTTTGGGTACTTGCAGAAAACAAATCAAATTCTATCAAGAAAAAGAAATCTTTCTGGAAAAGAGAGGCTTCCATTTGGAGTAGGGCAAGATGGTCAACTTGGGTATTCCTGAATGGCTGTTGTTGTTGCACAAAAGCTGGATGAGAACTATTTTCTGAACTATGGAGGATTTTGTGTCCAGTCCATCTCAAGTCTGTGAGCATCCCAAACAACTCTGTTTTGCTTCAAAATACCCTGAATTTATTTCTGAGAGAGAAATGTTTTCTCTTTAAAACACTTACATGTAGTAATTAATTGGCTGAGTGGAAAGCTTTCAAAAAAAACTGCAAAAACACTTACATGTAGTAATTAATTGGCTGAGTGGAAAGCTTTCAAAAAACCTGCGTTTGAAGAGGAAAACATTGATCTCAGACTCACAAAATGTTAGGGATTGGAAGGGACCTCGAAAGATCATCTAGTCCAATCCCCCTGCCAAAGCAGGAACACCTACTCTAGGCCACACAGGAGGGCGTCCAGGTGGGTTTTGAATGTCTCCAGAGAAGGAGACTCCACAGCCTCTCTGGGCAGCCTGTTCCAGTGTCCTGTCACTCTCACTATGGAAAACTTTTTCCTTATGTTTACATGGAACTTCCTATGCTCCAGCTTGCACCCATTGCCCCTTGTCCTACCATTGGACATCACTGAGAAGAGCCTTGCTCCATCTTCCTGTCATCTTCTCCTAGCTAGTGGGACAAGAGGTGGAAATTAAATGTCTTTAAATAGCCAGATCCCTCAACATCATTGAGGAAACAAGAACCAGGGTGTAACACAGATACCTATTGTTTGTGCTGTCAGTGAACAGTGAGGTAAGAGCCAGAGTTACTTCTTAAATTGACTGTTTTACTTCTGGTTGTGTTACTGATCAGCTCTGTAATATTTCACTTTCTTGTCTGTCTTCTGAGTCCTTCTCTGTCTGTCACCTGTTTTTTCTTTGCAGCAAGGCTTGTCTCCTACTATGCATTTGTACAGTATCTAGTAGCAGTTCCATCTTAAACTTTCGTGGTCTGCAAACTGGGCACGCACGCTCATGATGAATGGCACCAAAGGTTGGTGTAAGTCTTAACTCTGGCTTGCTTTAATGGACTTTATTATCCTTTACGTGTCATTATCAGTGAACTCAGAGGAGTATCTGTCTTACCCACGTCTGAAATTGTGCCTGAAAAAGGTCAAATAAACTGCTTTGTTACAGACTTCCCCAAAAATGAAGCTGTACAATAAGGATAATAAAGGTTACTTATCGCAAGAGCGAGCTTACCTCCCCCTCCCACGCTGACTGATAATTCTGACGTGGTTAGTTGTTACTGAATATAGTCTTTTCCCAGATGGCTCTTACCTTCAAGAGATTGTTAGGCAGTTATTTCTTTATGGACAGCACAAGACGTGCTGCTGTTTAATACATCTTGTAGAATATTTTGCATGTCATCCTGTACATCAGGAAAAAGAAGACAATACTTTAAAAGTAGTACAGCCTTATAACATTATTCTTACCATAACAGCTCCACAAACAGTATGTGATGGATGGAGTAATACATTTGATAAAGTGCCAGGGCAGCCTCTTCAGAAATATGTAACATAATAATGTTTAACAAAATGTGGACAATGTGTTTGGAATATGACTGACTTGATTGTGATCTTTAACTTGAGGTGATTTAATGACTTATTTCAGGTCACACCCACGTGAGGCTCAATAACTATTGTCCAGGAACCTCTCCTGCCCTTTGCTCCAAAATGTGACAGAAATTAATCAGTCTGTATGCCTTGTTCATGTGTGCTCGTACTCTCACCAATAGTTCAAGATCTTCCTGCTAAAGCAAGCTCACACAGTCCAGGATTTATGAGACAGTTGGAAGTGATCTATAATATGTGGGCTGGACACTTACTTGCGTTTACTTTGCATAAATACTTGATGAGGTGTCTCAGATTATTGGCTTCTAAAATGTGAAAAGCTGAAGCAAGCAAACGTGGCAGGACTATGTGCAATTCATTGCTTACAATTTCAGTCTGGGCTTGTTTCACTGTGGCTGAGATTAGTCTACACACCATTGCATGTGGAAAGTTGCAGGAGGTGCCATACGTTTCTGAAGTTCTCCTCCTTTCTAGTCTGTTGATACTGGACTTTGAAGGAAACTGATCTGACTTGGCCTGTCCGTAATGGCAGCAGCTGATCAGGAATTGAGGGGAAACACAGTGCTGGGAAAGCAATAACACTACCAGTTGAGGTGGGAAGGGAAAGCCTAGACACTACAAACACTTAATTTAGTTGTTAGGATAGCAGAGCTGCAAGGAATTTATTGCTGATGACGCTTCCTCTTGCAACACAATGGTCTGAACATGGCTAGAACTAAGAGGATGAAACAGTATTCTTCTGGAGCTTGGGATTGCATAAAGTGATTTAACGGCTTCTAGTGTCCAAATACTCCATGTGGTTCAGGCACTTGGAACATTTTAAAGTGCTACTTTACAGGTAGGTTTGTGGAAACTTTGGATTTTAGGGTTTGGTTTTTTTTTTTCCCCTTCTTAGTCTAAGAGCGGGCTCCAGGCCAGCAATGAACTGAACAGCTGCTAACCTGAGGATTGGGACCAGAAGATATGAGATCACAAATTATCCATCCCTTTTTTTTTCTGGATCCTATTCTTAAACCAAAACAACTCTTACTGAATGTGAAGAAAGTTCAGTTCTGGTAGATCTGTTTGTAAACTGCTGAGGGTCAAATCCAGCCCTGAGGGCAGTTCAGTGGCTGTTGAGTCAGGGTGCTGCTATATTAGGTGGAATAAAAATCAACCCACACCTATATTCTTAAAATTAGCATAGTGATCCTCATCCTCACACCCCAAATATCTAAATTCAGTAATGAGGCTATAAACTATTTTTTTCTTGGGTATTTTATCACCAAGGTACTTTTCTTGCATACCAGAGCCTTTATGGGCCAGGTGTTTGAAGTGTCTTTGAAGGTGTAACTTAGCACAGAATGAGTTTTCTTAGGGTGACTCAGACTGTCAATATTACCTCTGTTCAGTGATACCATCTGTCTATATGCTGAACCTCGAAAAAGGGCAACGCTAAAGGGGTTTTATCTTGCAAATTAAGATTTGTAGGTTGTTTTCTTCCCTAGGCTGGAAAATATTCTTAACCTACATTGAACAGGGGAGAGGTGTGGGTCCTAGAGTTCTGCAAGGCGACAATTTGGACAAAATCCCTAACTCATAACTTTTTTGGGATAGTAGGGGTGCTGGGATACCTAGATAAGGATATTTTTATGGAGTACTGTTAAATCACACTAGCTTTACTCACACCAGTTTCTCTACCCTTCAGGACGAGCCCAGGAAAGCTTCTTTGACTGGGAGGCTGAGTCGGCTGTATTGGCGATGCCTGCAAATCTCTAAACCCTTTCTCTGGCTTTGCTCCTGCCTTGGCTTTGTTGCCTCTTGGTTCCTGTTCGGTACTGTCCAGCCTGCAGGGAGTTTGTGCTTTCATTGTGGTTCTCAGCACTTTGTTTTGCTGAATTGCAGTGTAAAAATCTTTTAGTCTGGGTGTATTTATCAATTTGGCTTCATATACTATCTTAGATTATAGATTAGCCTTGTGAATGCAGCGTATCTGGGAACTCTTTGTTCAGCTTTCCCATCTGTTGAAGGTAAACTTGTATTTTCAGACCCTTTGTTGTGAAACTTAGTTATAGGATCCTGGGTGTGGTTTTTTTTCTCTACTTTGTTTTCTTTAGAGCAGAGTTTTCAGTACGTAATACCAAATTAACTTTAATTATTCTGTGGTAAGTCTGAAGTAGCATTGCATTAAAAATATTGTGGGATTGTGTGTGTGCTCAATGAGACCTAAAAAAGTTACCACCCCACCTGTAAAAAATGCAGACTGAAGAATGTCTTATCAGTTTCTTGTAGCTCAGGGTACGTAACAGTATTTTCCGTGTTTAAAATGAGGGAAGAGTTGAAGCATTCATGACCTAGTGTTAAAAAATGAAAATAAATACATAAATCAATCATGTTGGGTAGTAGATGGTGTAGATGAGAAAAAGTGAGGGAGCACACAGGTGCTCCTAAAAACAAAACCACAAAAACATAAACTCAAGTGCTTCTAAAAGAAAAACATAAACTTTGGTTCACAGGACAAAGTTTCTTTAAATGTATGTATTTTCAGACATTTAAAAAAAAAGTATTAGAACTAAGGTTAAAAATTGTAATGTGGAAGGATATTTCTGAGAAGAAACTAAAAGTTGCAATATTGAACTCTTTGAGAACTAGATTTTTCTTATTTAGGGTTAGAGAAGAATAAAAAGAACAATAATAATGTTATACCTGGTGTGTGCATAGAAAAGGCTGCTGCAGCTAGTGTTAAAATGTAAGAAGAGTTTATTTTCTCACCCGTGATATAGTTTCCATTACAAGATCAGCACATACCTTAAGTTTATCTTACTATGCATGGTGGTGTATTTCTCAAAAGAGCAAAGAGATACAGAAGTTTGTAGCTCAGATTACAACAGGTGTTTTTTCCCCAGCCTTATGTTCAGACTGCTCATTACTGTGTCGTCTTATCGTCTCTGTAATGATATTTTTTTCCATTTACAAAATGTGAATGATGCCACTTCTCAGCCATACTTAGTAGTCCAGAGGCCAGTAGCCTTTCAAAGGTGGCTGCCAGACTTTTTTTCTAAACTTCAGGGTTAACTGTATTACAACCTGGAGAAGATGGGACAGTTGTTCTCGACTCAGCAGGGCAAACTACTGCCAGTTACCTGATTAGAGAGAACTTTCTCCAGGTGAAGAGACAGCTCTTCTTTGAACATGGAACTTGATGAGAGCTGTGGGCTGTTTTCTTGTCCTGAGATACCACATCTGCCCTCAAAAGCATTGTCTCCTGGCTCTGCTACTCACCAATCAATATCTGAAAGTCTTTTCACCTATACCAGAGACCATTGACCAAAGAAATATTTGGTATTGGAATCTCCTTGTACATCTATGTTGGAAAAACCATAGGAGTTGCTTTCCTTCCTAGCCTGAGGCCATATTTCCTACCTGGAGAATATTCATTTTTCTTGCCTTCTACTGTTTCCCCTGTCCCCAAAATCATAAGCATGTAAGTTGGTTAATGCCAGAATTTTCTATATAAAGTTAAGGTACTGAATGTGGCTGTTATATGAAGACCATATTTAAATCCACATCTAAGCTCTATCTTCAAAAAACAAATGCTTTTTCATGTCTGAGATGTTTAGATAAACTCAAATTATAAAAATCCCGATTGGTTTGGAAAAAAACCCCTTGCATCATTCTACAAATGGATGAAATATTTATTGATATAATGTAGAACCTGTCTCTTGTAGCTGTTTTAACTTCTTACCTGCGCTATATTTAGTCAGGATCAAAAGTAATAACCTACTTGACTTATGCTATTAAACCACAGATTTTTAAATAGATCTTAATTCAAATAATAGCTTATAAGCTGTACCTTCTGAGGGGATGTGTTGTTGTCTGTGGTATGTCACGTCTTTGCTATAGTGGTGATGGGATTCTGATTTTTCTGACTTGGACACTTTGCAAAAATTTGTTTTTATTATATTTTGACACTTTCCTCCACTTTGATTTCAGTCCTAGAAGTATAAATGTAGGACAAGGATGGAGATGGCAACACTGATATTGTTTGGAGAGTGGCTGTAATTACATAAAGTTTTCTCAAAAATCTAAAAGATATCAAAAACATGGTTTCTGTCATGCCAAGTAGAAGTTGTATTGAATTCTTTAACAAGCAAAGAAATTTTTGCAAGGAAACAAAGCAACAAGAAAATCCCCTTGCTGTGGAAAGGAGAAAATTTGCTTCTAAATCTAGTGAGACCAGGCTAAATGGGAAACTTGAGGTGCCAAGGGGTTATATTCAAGTATGCATAAACTCTGTTTTACGTTTTGAAAAAGACTTAAAGTAATGACCTGTTTGCTGAAGTTGTTTTATGGTTTCTCTTTGCAGTTCTAAAACAATAACCTCTTTGTTAGACAAACCACAGGAAGGACCTATGAAGGCAGCAGTCTCACCAGTAAAGGTATGATTGGTATCGAATACAGAAGTTATCTTTTACATCTTGTGTGTTTCTTTGCTTCACTGGTAAAAAGAATTAAAAATTTGAAGAAGAAAGATAATAAGTTGGAAATAATTAGGTGTGGGGTTTTTTTTGAGGGAGATAATGGAAACCACTAAAAGTTAAGTGCTAAAGTATTGTTAGAGCTATAATCAGTGGCTGGCTGTGTTTGACACTGTCCCCAATCTCTTCAGCCACCGAAAAGAATTGCCTTGCTGTGTTCCAATATCTCTAATGTCACAGAAGTAGAGATAAAATTATTTAACTTGCAACAACTTGGGATTTGCAAGTGTCTTTAAGTGGTGGCTTATCTCTGCTGTTGGTGACTTCAAAAAGAACAGGCTGAGGCTAACATTAGTGCTTCTGATAGTTCCCTGCTTCATATTGTTTCCGTGTTTTGTCATGTAGCCAATTTAAGAGGCTGCTTTCAAACTCTGCTAACAGGGTAGTGAGGCAGAGGAAATCACCTCACTTTCATTTATTTTGTCAAGACTGTACTAATATAAAAATATGACTGCAATTATAATGTTTATTCCTTTTTTAGCAAAGGAGAAATCCATTTAATTCCACTGCATCAGGTGGTAACTTGAACAATGGGGAATCAGAAAACAGATCAGCCGTTCTACCTCAGCTATCAAAGAAGGGTAAATATGCTTATTTAGTGTATGACTGTGAATTTCTTGATGGTTTATATGGAAGTTATTTTTACTTTTATTGCTTCTTTCTGTAAGATATCAAAACCTTTTTAATCTTAACTACTTGGAGTTATCAACTAGTTCATTTCAAACCCCATGTTAAAAATGTGAATATCCTCAGGAAATGGCTGTTTATGTGAGTAATTGGGCTTTGTTTCCAGTTCTTTTACTCACAATTCTAGTCAGTATTAAGCATTCCATCTGAGAGGGCTGTTTGTCCTGAACTGCTGTTAAGAGAACAGAGAAATTTCCTTGAATTTAACATAGCTATTTCTATGACCTTCCAGCCATTGCTGCTATTGGCTCAACAGAAGCAGCCTCACTCTTTGGTCTTTATTTTTTCCTTTTCTTTTTTTTCCTATCTTGTTTATTTTTGAATCCTCCCTTTCCCGCAGTATTCTCTGCAAGCAAGTAGATGAGAGATGATATATCACAATACAGGCATTTGAAGTTGTGATTTACAGGCTCATACGCAGAAATTACTCTCGTGTCTCTGTTATGAAGCTTGCTAACAGGAAGAAGGAAGATTTGGACATTAGGAATAAGAAAAATTTTATCTCCCTACCAGGAGATCATTGATGCATTTTACCTTGGTCCATATGAATGTGGAAATAGCCTGTTTCCATTTCTGTAGGTTGCTGTTTATGTTCTGAACCTGAAGAGGTGTATGTGTATTCAAAAGCTGCCCTTCTATGCAAACTTTGTCCCCTGCAGGAATAATGCTGATCAAAAATTTGGTGTGCTCTCTGTCTTTGGAATCATCAACTAGTTAATGTTTCTATGATAAGAAATAACTGCAGGATTTTCGTCTACTAAAACTTCTTATGACATACGAATGAAATCAACATCTATGTTGAATTTCCGCTTGCATTTTACTGCAGATGTTTTTAATAAACCAATATCATCACTGCATTCTAGATCTGTGCTGTGTCATACGCCTCTGTTTATGCAGATGAATGTCATGTAAACTCATTATTTCTTCTCTATATGCATCTTGCAGAACTGTTGTCACTCTCAGAAGAGAGCCAACCTAAACCAAACTTACAAAATGATGAAACAGAGAAACATAAGAAGCCTTCTGTAGAACCTACTGGTGGATCACAGAAAGCACTAGTTAAGCATCCTGTCCCAAAAGCTAGAAAATTAATTCACAAAGCAACAGATCCTGTGTCACAAAGAGAAGACTTAGTTCCAAAACCAGCCAGACGGACAGAGAAGATTAATGGCATCGGCACACCGCCCAGGGGCATTCTGAAACGCAGTTCAAGTTCAAGTTCCACTGACTCAGAAGTTCGTGTTAGTCAGATGTTAGATGTTCAGAAAAAGAATGGTCTTCCTACTGCAACTATCTTTGAAGGAGAAGCTGAGAAGAACTCTCTTACAGAAGAAGTAGAAGACTCCACACAAATTTCACTGGAAAAACTAAAACAAGTGAGGTTCTCATCTAGCACAGGTAAAGGAGAACCTCTGCAAAGCCCACAGCTGCACCGTGGTAGAGAAACAGGAGAGTTTGGTTTGTTAGAATCTGATGAAATAAAGAAGAGTGGAAGCGATGATATTAGATCAGATTCATTTGGGAATAAGCAAATGTCTGCTGTAAAGCCTTTGGGAACCTCTTCATCAGCTTTACAAATAAAAACAATAGGTGGCTTACAAGAAGATACATCAGCATCTGGCCTTCATGACACTAATAGGTCAGTTGCTCTGGTTAATGAAACCTTGCAGACAAAGACATTTACTCCTAAAAGACTTGAAACTCCACAGAAGACCTCCAGCAATATCCTGCCAAATAACAATAATGAACTGAGTGTTGATGAGATGCGTGAAAATAAATCCAACCAGATCTTGAGCCGTGAATCCAAGTCACACAAAAACTTTACTGGTAAGAGAATAATGGGAGTGAAGAAGAGAATGCAGTGGCATATAGGATGTATTCATTAATGTTCGAATCACTTGTATCTAAGAATTAATAACTACAAAACAGAGATAGTAGGAATGTGCTGCATACTGCAGAATTAAATTCTAAATCACTTTTTTGTACTTTAATGCTCTAATGTAGTCAATATTTTTTAGATGATCTTCTAGTGATATTCTTAAGAATTAACAATTGGATCAGAGCCTGGACAGGCACCTTTATTGCAGATGATGAAAATGAAGTGATGACATTTGGATAAAATTCCTGTCATAAGACCTGGTAGATCTGTCTGCACAGGAACTGAAGAATTTTTGGTGTACTGCTGTCAGCTGTCCTTGGTAGTAGTTCAATTGTGACATGAGGATTTGCTCATGGGATTAACACAAATATACTGGGTTGTGCCCCCTGGCCTGGCCCCCCATTCAGTGTAACCATTTCCTTTAGAACAGGGATAACCAATCCTACCTGCTTGCACCCTCAAAAATAAATATGATTAATTTTCCAGTAGGGTATCTCAGTCTAGGAATCTATTTTTCACTCTGTTGCCTGCAGTATGGTTCTTTCCAAAAACACAAGGACAGAGAATTCTTCCCCACCCCCCCTGCCCCCCACTAACAGTTAAAAAAAAAAAATCTGAGAGATTTTTCAAGATAGATTGAACATCTGTAGAGTTGTGTGTCTGATTGCTAACACTGATAAGTTTGCTTATGTTGTAGATGAACATCAGCTTTCTCCTATGACAGAGGCACATGAGGTGTCAAATACCAATTCTTCAAGTCTTCAGCAAGGTAAGCCTGATCTTGTTGAGGAGCGAGATGCTAAAACCACTTTCAAGCCTGACAAACTTGCTGATGAACTCACTAAAGTGGCTGATGGATCTGTATCAAAAGTTGTAGATTGGTTTAAAAGAAGTTCTGGTACTGAAGATAGGAAACATGTATCAGCTAGATCCCAAGGCAGGAAACCCAAAGAAGAAGTGGACTTCTCAACCAGAACAGCAGCTCTTCCTCCAGATTACATTGGGCCTGGCATGGATGGAAAAACAGAAGTTACAGAAGAGTTACCATTTGGAAAGGTTAAAGAACAGAACAGTATTTCACCGACATCACTTACTTCAGAAGATAGACAGCTGATAAAAGCAAGGATGAAACCTAAGGAAGGGGAAGAGAATGAGGAGCAAAATGACATATCACTAACTGCATTTGACTGTGCAAGAGTTGTAGAAAAAGAATGTGGTCAAGAAATCAAGCAACAAAATAAAAAATCAAATATCTTAGAACATCATGAACACAAGCTACCAGCCCAGATATGTGAGTCAGAGAAGGCAATACGAGAAAAAAGAAGAATAAGGGAGATCAGAGCATTTTGGGAAAGGGATAAAACTATCCCCAGTCATGGAAAGAAAGAATTCAGTATCAATACTAATGTATCAGGTGATGGTGCATTGAAAGGTCTAGAAGAAAGTGCATCAATGAAACCAACTGCAGTATACCTACCTAATGAATTGGATGATCAAAGCAAGAATACTTTAAAAAGTGCTGAACAAAGTTGTTTGAGCAAGGCTTCAAGAAACAAACAGCAAAATTCTTTTGAGTTTGGACCAGGCCATGCGTTTGAAAAGCCAGAAGGAACACTTCCATCTGATGGTGAAGTTCATGAATATACAGAATTGCCAAAAGCCAGTAACTTGCAGTCAAGAATTGGTGCCACTTCAGCTTTCCAAGAAAGCAAAGAGAAGGATGAGAAAGAAACACTTCATGGGAAAGTTGCTGCTTTTTCCCCACAGAAGCCCAGCTTCCAGGTTTTGTCTCTAAAAGAAAAAATGAATGAAAAGTCCAAGAATCAAATTTCAGATCCTTCACAATTCCAGCGTTTGAGAAACTTCTGGGATACTGGAGTTAAATTACAGAGTAGCATTGACAGGGGAGATGTTTCTTTGCCAAATAATACTAGCTCAATAACCTATGAAGGAAAATCAAAGGGAGATAAAAAAGGCAGAGATAATGTGAGCAATCAAGAGTTAATTCAACAACAAACCCAAACATCTGAGAGAGAAAAACCACAGAAACAAGATTCTGTCATTTGTGAACTGCCTTTAGGATCTCCTACCCTGAAAGGTCTGAATGTGACACACCACAAAAATAAAGACTCTGTTCAGCTGGACAGAAAACCAGTTATCCCAAAACCCCAGGAAAAGATGGGTCTTCCAGAGGAAGAAATTAAAGAATGTATAGAAAAAAGTATTGTTTCATCAAAGGAACATCATGTTTCCTTGCAGTTGCTCCAGTCACCTGGTGATAAAGATGCTTTAAATGAGAAAGCAGTAGATGATTGGCCATGTTTACCTATAGAAAAAGTGGAGAACAAGACTAGTCCATCAGATGTCAGTCTCCCTAAAGAGGAAGTTGCAGAGACTGTGCTTAAGGTTGTTCTACCTAAACCTGAGCTTGATGTATTTAAATTAGGTCTAAAGAGATTAGAAAAGGAAGCCTCCGAGATGTCACCTAGCTTGAACCTAAAAGCAAACGTTTCAAAAGGGACAACTTTTCACTCAAATCAGTGCAAGGTCTTTGAAAGAACAGTAGAACAGAACTGTGATATTTTTCCTCCTGATCAAAAAAAAGAAATAGGCAAAAGCACAGGAAAAGTGAATTTGCCATCAACAGATGAGCATGAGAACAAAAAAAGCCTCAGGAAACTGTTTGGAGAATTTGAAAATTTCTATCTACAACAGCGAGCAGCAGACAAGGGTGATGCTCTTGAGTCTTCTCGGAGACCTCAATCTGGCTTGCAGAACCTGCTCCGAGAAACTTTTGCATCTAAACCTTATGAATATAGAAGGGTGGAAATGAAAACATCTGATGACATAAATAATATATCACAAACTAATTGTAGAGTAGAATCAGCAAGCCAAGAAGATACTGGTCAGCATGAAGAGGTCAATGAGACCATAGAAAAGTCTGTTGCCCCATCCAAGACCAGTGGCTTGAGTTCTGCTTTAGAGAAGCTGCTGAAGGAGGCCTCTGAAATGCCACCACCTAAACCAAAACATGCCGACAGCACAGTACGAAGGACTGCAGAGATGGAAGTTAAAAGCATGACGTATGAGCATGGTGGAGAGCAACCACAGGAAATTTTTGAGACCATAGAAAAATGTATTGCACCGTCCAAGGCCAGTGGCTTGAGTTCTGCTTTAGAGAAGTTGCTGAAGGAGGCCTCTGAAACACCACCACCTAAACCAAAACGTGCCAATAAAAGCACAACCCGTGAGCATGATGGAGAGCAGGCACAGGAAATCAGTGAGACCATAGAAAAGTCTGTTGCTCCATCCAAGGTCAATGGCTTGAGTTCTGCTTTAGAGAAGCTGCTGAAAGAGGCTTCTGAAACACCACCTCCTAAACCGAAACGTGCCGACAGAACACTATGGAGAGCTGCTGAGATGGAAGTTAAAAGCAAGATGTATGAGCATGGTGGAGAGCAGCCACAGGAAATCAGTGAGACCATAGAAAAGTCTGTTGCCCCGTCTAAGACCAGTGGCTTGAGTTCTGCTTTAGAGAAGCTGCTGAAAGAGACCTCTGAAACGCCACCTCCTAAACCAAAATGTGCCGACAGCACAGTACGGAGAACTGCAGAGGTGGAAGTTGAAAGCATGATGTATGAGCATGGTGGAGAGCAGCCACAAGAAATCAGTGAGACCATAGAAAAGTCTATTGCCCCGTCCAAGGCCAGTGGCTTGAGTTCTGCTTTAGAGAAGTTGCTGAAGGAGGCCTCTGAAAC